AGGGAAACTGAAGCAAAAATAAACTATTGGGACTACACCAAAATAAGGAGCTTCTGCACAGCAAAGGAAACAATCAATAAAACTAAAAGACAACCTATAAAGGGCATCCGGGTGGCTCAGTCAAGCATCAGACTCTTGATTTGGGCTTAGGTCATAATATCATGGTCATAGGATCGAGCCCCACATCGGGCTCTGTGCAGAGCACAGAGCCTGCTTGGGATTCTGTCTCCCTCTCTCTCTGCCCCTCCTCCACTTGCACTTGCACATGTGCACGCACTCTCTTTCCCTCTCTCTCAAAAGAAAATAATGATAATAATAAAAGGCAACCTATGAATGGGAGAAAGTATTTGCAAATGACATATACAATAAAGGGTTAGTATTCAAAATACATAAAGAACTGAGACAACTCAACACCCAAAAAACAATCCAATTTAAAAATGGCAGAAGATATGAACAGACATTTTTCCAAAAAAGACATGCAGAAGCCACTGACATGTGAAAAGATGCTCGTCATCACTTACCGTCAGGGAAATGCAAATAAAAACCACAATGAGGTATCACCTCACACCTGTCAGAATGGTTGAACTCAACAAGAGACACAACAGGGCACCTGAGTGGCTCTGTCAGTTAAGCAACCGACTCCTTTTGGAGCCATACAGTGTTGATTATGTATATTTTGTCTCTTATCCTTGGTGATTGAAAAAAAGTAGATTCATACTTATTAATGTGTATTTCCATAGTGATCCACAAATATTTTGGCCATTTCTATTTGCTGTGTCTATACCTGCAACTAATTTCTTCACTAAGCAACACCCAGAAACTACATGGACTTTTCAGTTTCTTCAGTTGTACAGGGTCCTATTTTCTGGAACTTTGGGCAGTAGCTTTTCCCTTCTTTTGCCATGTTTGTGGCTTCATGTTGAACTTGTCTGAATCCAGGTTAGCGTGTGCATCTTCAATCCCTTCAATCATCAGAACTTGCCTTGCATTTATCAAACTGCACCCAACTGCTATCATAGCCTCTGTGATTCTCTTCTGCATGTGATTGTTTTAATGAATGGCATTCCATTTATATGGTTATGTAGTCATTTTTTTTTAATTTCTTGACAGTGGGTGCACACGAACCAGGTGTTCCTGATTGCTGTCTTCATTGTCCATAATGTAACTTAAGACGTGTCTTTTCTCCCGCCTTCCTGAACTTGACATTGCCATGTGACCAACGGTTTCATCATTGTTTGTGCTGCTTCTCCCCAGGTAGTTCTATATATTCTTTTTTGGACATCTTAAATTCTCCTTTTTGATGCAGTATAAATCTTTCTCTGAAAACTCATTTTACTAATGTGGTTTTGTCTGATGCATGTTAGTTGGAGTCAAAGATCTTAGAAGTGAAAGAGGGCCCCTCGATTTTTTATCTATCCCTGTGACTTCAGGAAGACACCTATTGTTCTCACTTAACAGGCAGCGCAATTAAAGCCCAGAGAAGTGACTTGTTTATGGCTACACCTCTACTGAGTAAGGAAGCAGGAATTGGACCCCTGCTCCCCAGTTAAGGAGAAGAGGGAGACTGGACAAGGCAGTTGGCACCAGAGAAGGGAAGTCTCTGGGTCAGTAAATTAATTAATTGGTACTCGTGTGGAGAAGTTATCAGGGCTTGGACTCAAATCTACAACACTTAAGAATATTAGTAATGACACTAAAAAGCTATGCAGTAATGAAAATTATGGAAGAATGGGATTGAGCTCAAAGACTAATGTTTTAATCATCTAAATCTGCACAATAAACCACCCCAAAATTTAGGAGCTGAAAACAATATTTGGCTCACAAATCTGCAATCCAGGCAGAGTTCTGCAGGGACAGCTCATCTCTCCATGTTAGCTGGGATTGCTCACAGTCTGAGAGTTAGAATCATCTCAAGGGTCACTCAACTTAGGCATCTGGAGGACAGAACATGGGACTGCTGTGGCTCGTCAGACAGCAGTCTCTATCTCCATGTGACCTTTCCATGTGGACCTTTCAGCATGGCAGCTACAGGAGACCCAAGCTTGTGTATCAGCTCATTGCTCCCAAGGGATGTAGCTCAAGAAAGAGAATCATGTGGAGCCTGCACAACCATATGTGACTTAACTCTGGAGGTCATTGAGCATCACTTCTGCCACATTCTCCTGATCAAGACAATTACAAAGTGTTGTCAAAAACTGACCTCTTGGCTCCAGAGCCAAAATATGTAACATGAAGACAGAGTTTGGGTACAAAGAAGGAAGATAGTTTATTACTCTGCCAGGGAATAGAGGCTGCAGCAGGCTAATATCCCCCAGGACTGCAAGCCCACCCACAGTAAAAGGCTGAAAGGTTTCACAAGAAAATACAGGATCAAGGTAGTTTCAATAGGAATCTGGTACATGCTGCCAGCCACCTTCATTATGCCCTCAAGCTGGTCTCATGACTAGCACTGGCACTGGCCATCCCAGTCTCATTTCTGAGTATGAGCTGAGATCAGTGAGATGTCAGCATCAATACCAAGTTCCTGGAACAAAGGATTCTACAGAAAAACAAGTGAAGGGGAGGAGTAGGCTTCAAGAATTAGGAAAAGAAAAATTTGTTCAGTTGAAAGTCAAGCCTTGCTGAAGTGTTTACATCTTGATTTCCATCCATCTTTACATTTCTACAGTGGTCTCAGAAGGTCTTCCCAGATTTAAGAGGCAAGAACACAGACCCCCACCTCTCGGTGGAAGAGCATCAACATCGTAAGAAGAGTATATGGGATGAGATCTATACCAGAGCATCTGTCTTTGGAAAACATAACGACAACAACTGAAAACCACTGGACTACCAAACCATTGAAACCATTGAAAGAGTTGAAAGGGACCTTGAAAAGGCCATGCATTTGTCACTAACAAAACTCATTCTGAGAAGACAAGCTCAAATGTAAATGTCCCTTCCTTTTGGAATCCCTCTTTGATGTCCCCCCAGCTTCTATAGCCCTTTGTAAATACTCCCACTCTTCCAATCAGTATATTCCATTTTCAAAACATGGTTGTAATCAGGCAGGTACTACCCACCTGTCAATTAGCCAAACTTCTTTTTCTAATATGAGTATGGCATAGGAAACATCACAAGGAAAAGAGTCTTCTGACTGCTGGGGAAGTGACACTTCAGGGAAGCAGCGACTGGCACTTTGCACAGAAAACAGAGCAGAGGGACAGAATCAGCAATTCAGAGAAAACCTGACATCACGCAAAGAAAAAATATATATACATACATATGCTTTTGTCCTACATTAAAGGTAGATGGGGTGCCTGGGTGTCTCAGCAGGTTAAGGAACGGACTGTTGATTTCGGGTCAAGTCATGATCTCACCCTTGGTGGGATTGAACCCCATGTCGGACTCTGCACTGACAGCGTGGAGCCTGCTTGGGATTCTTTCTCTGCCCCTCCCTGAGTGCTCTCTCTCTCTCTCTCAAAATAAATAAATAAATAACCATTTTAAAAAATGTAGAAGGCATAGCAGTACAGTAAATGTCAAAACCTGGAGAGTGAAGCAGCTAGGATAGAAGCATAGCCTAAAGCAGCGTTCTCCAACCTCACCTGCGTTAGTTTTGCTTGGAGAGCCTGTTGAAACACCCCCAGAATTTCTGACACAGTAGGTCTAGGTCAGGCCTGAGAATCTGCATTTCTCACGGGTTTCCCGGCAATGTTGCTGCTTGTGGTCTGGTACCACCCTTTAAGAACCACTAGCCTCAAGGTTTTTAGACCTGGACGTAGTGGCCACAGTGAAGCCCTGGCAAGAATGAAGGAACCAGAGGGCCACAAGAGCGGTGGGCAGAGAAGATGACCCAAGAGACGGAAGTGGCCTGATTTTAACAAAGCCCATTTCTGTTGATGGCCTCCCTGCTGGCCAGGGCGCGCTCTCGGGGCATTGCATCCCAGGGACCCGAAGGCTGCCTCCGACGCACTCCCGCAGTCACTAGGCGCCCCCTCCAGACCTTCCCTGGGCGGTGTCAGACGCGAACGCACAGGAAGGCGGCCGAGCGAGGTGGGCGGGGCTCACCTCCTTTCCTGAGGCCGCAGGGCGCGCTAGACGCGGAGAGCCGAGTCCCCGCCCCCGGCCGTGATTGGTCAGCGCCGCCCAAGCGTGGTGACGTCGTGCGGGGGCGGTAAGTTTGGGAGAAGAGCGCGGGAGTTGAGAAGGGTCGGCTACATCCGGGAAAGGCCTTGAGATTGTCGTTCAGCCGCCAGTTGCTCCTTGGGAATCTGGGGCAGCTCCCCAAGAGTTTCCAGTACCGCCTGCTACCTCGGAGTGCCTCTGTGCCTCCCCGGTGCCCAGGTGAGCATCCAAGTGGGCGAGTGGGACATCTGGGTGTGTATGTGTGTGTGTGTTGGAGGAGGGGATAACTGTGCTCCTGTGGCACCGAGAGACGAGAGGAATATGCTCACTTTCCCGGATGCTCCGAGGGCATCCTCTCGTCCCCGCCACCCACCTTCTTAGCCTTTGGGATCACTGGTCTGATGTTGCTGGGCCTTGTGGCTCTAGGAAATTAAGCATTCATTAGTTCTTCCAACAGGATTAAGTGTCTGCTGTGAGTTAAGCACGGCGCCAAGCGCAGGAGTACACAGGTAATGATGTCCCAGTACTTAGAAGTGCCGGGGACAAAGCAGATGCGTGATTTATATTTGAACTGAAGTGAACACAGCCCGCAAGGAAAGGACTTCTACCAGGAAGACAAACAGTTACTGCCTGGTGTGATAGATGCTTGATTCGAGATGTACCTGGAAACACTTTTTAAGGGGTGACCTCTTTGGGGAACTGATACCTGACTTAAGGTTCAAAAGAAGAGGCAAAGAGTTGGAAAAATTCAAAGCCTATGAATTGACTAGCCACTGCCAAGGAGCCTCTATAACACCAGTTGTAGATATACAGTTGCATATTATTGCAAATATATGGAAAACACATTGCAGGGTATTGGTTCTTTTATTCCCATTAGGTTCCTGGTTTCAGAGAAGATGACAGAGGAACTGGACCCCACAGCACAGGACTCTGATGGGGGTAGTGAAGAGGTGGTCCTGACTCCTGCAGAGCTCATTGAAAACCTGGAGCAGGTACGCATTAATAAAGGTGGTTATTTCACAGAGTTGCTGTGAGGGTTAAATGAAATGACATATGTAAAACACTTAGTATATTGTTTGACACAAGATAAGCACTCAATGTTAGCTGTGAGTAGTAATAATTCTTACAATAATCCAATAATGTAGGTGTTACTGTCCAATGTGAATCAAGTCTCTTTGACTCCAAAATGTGTGCTCTTCATCTACTACACTCGTTGCCTTATTCTTCTCTTCTCCCTTTAACAGCCCCTTTCCAGAACTGCCTCATGTTTGTTACTTTAGTATTCATTCTGTCCTACCATGCATGTTATGAGTGACAAAAGAAGGATAATTTTAAAACTGTATCCTTATATGATAATCTGTGATGATAATTAAGGAGTAATTCTTAATTTGTTTTTATATCACAGAACTTTTTGAAAATCTGGTGAAAACTGGCTCTTTTGTCCAGAATAATATATGCATACACACACATGCAGAAATTTTACATATAATTTCGGGAGATTCACAGACACCCTGAAATCTGCCCACCTAGTTTAAGAGCCCCTGTTTGTTAGGAAAGGATTCATTAAACGAAAGTCCAAAAGCACAAAGCATAAAGGAAAAAACAGATACATTCAACTGCATTAAAATTAAAAACTTTTTTTTTTTTTACATCTTGATGACAGTAAAAAGACATGCTGCAAAACTGGGAGAGAATTGTTCACAATATTAGTATCCACAGTATCTAAACAAACTTTACAAACTACTCAATAGAAAAAATGAAGTCCAAACAGGCATCTCCCAGAAGTGGAAACCCGGATGGCCAGTAATACCTTGAAAAAGATGTTCAGGGGCGCCTGGGTGGCTCAGTCGGTTGGGCGTCCGACTTCGACTCAGGTCATGATCTCACGGCCTGTGAGTTCGAGCCCCGCGTCCGGCTCTGTGCTGACGGCTCGGAGCCTGGAGCCTGCTTCCAATTCTGTGTCTCCCTCTCTCTCTGACCCTCCCCCGTTCATGCTCTGTCTCTCTCTGTCTCAAAAATAAATAAACATTAAAAAAAAAAAAAAAAAAAAGATGTTCAATCTTTTTAGTGATCAGGAACATGAAGATTTAAATCCCAAGGAGATACCATTTCATACCCGTCAGATAGGCAGAAATGAAAAAGGTGAATAATATAAAGCAAGGACGTAGGGCCATTTGCACACCTGTATATACTGTGGTGAATTGGTGCACTTTGGAAAATAATTTGTTCTTGTATTGTCAGGTTGAAAGCATACATATCTTGTGTCCTAATCATTCTACTCCCAGGGACAACCCTAGAGAAAACTTCCAGGAGACGTGCACAAAATGTTAATAGTATTGCTTGCAAAAGTTAAAAACCAAAAATAGCCCAAATATCCATCAACAATAGAATGAATAAAAATCATGAGATATGTGTGTACACACACACACACACACACACACACACAGCAGGAAAAAAACCAGCAATAAAATGAGTGAAAGGTAGCTCCTGCGACAACATGGGTCACTCTCAAGAGAATAATGTAGAACAATAAAAAGTAAGTTTTAGAAGAAACGATTTATGTTAAGCTCCACCATTTGCAAAACTATTGTTCAAGGCCGAGCTTGTGGCACACACTAGTGCACTGCGGTGCCTCATCATGTTGACCATCTACCCTCTGGGACAGCCAGAGGCAACCCAGGCTGGTTGCCTCTTTTGGGTACGAGGGGCTCCTTGGAAGGAAGCCTGAGGATAGTGGGGTCTGACAACACAGCCCTGGTTGGTGGAAGGTGAGCATGCCTCACGTCTCAGGCCTGAAGCTCCGTTGCAGTGCCCCGAGTATGCCATGGCATGGGTCCACCACCTGGACAGATGCCGGAGCCGGACACAGACTCGGAGGCTGCACAGCATGGCCTGAGGAGCAGCCTGACGGGCCGTTGATAAACACAGCTCCAGAAGCATGTATAGGATACTCATGAATACCTGTTAAAAAAATGATTTAAAAGTTATTGCCCACAGTGCAGATTTTCTCATTTTAATGATTGTATTAGTTTGCTAAAGCTGTATAATGAAGCGCCACAGATTGGGTGGATTAAATAACAGACCTGTATTTTCTCATCTCTGGAGGCCAGAAGTCTAAAATCAAGGTGATGGCACTGTAGGTTTCTTCTGCGGCTTCTCTCCTGGGCCTGTAGATGGCCATCTTCTCCCTGTGTTTTCACATGATCTGCCATGTGTGTCTGTGTTCAGAGTTCCTCCTCTTGTAAGGACATAGGTCACTGGGTTAGGGCTCACCTAATGACCTCATTTTAACTTGATTACCTCTGTAAAGACCTTATTTCCAAATACAGGCACATTCAGAGGTGCTAGGAGTTAGGACTTGAACATATGGATTGGGGACACAATTTAGTCCATAATGATGAACAGCTTGTCATTAAAATTTTTGATCAGGAACCAGATACAGCTATTTCAAACATAGAACCTGATTGTTAAAAAAAAGCCCATGGATTTAAATGTAAGTTTCTCACTAAATATATTAAAAACTTTTTTTTGAAGGTTTTACACTTCTATAGATTTTCTCCTAATGTTTTATACATTTTTATCAAAATAATTTCATAATGTCAATGAGAAATCTCCCTCATATCTACCCCATTTCACCCCAGTGTATACCCAGAAAGTGCTTTCATTTTCTTTGAAATCATTGGGAATTGTTATGTAGAGATACAAACAAATGTAGTGACACTGTGGAGAAAATTAAATACTAAGTTCAGGCTAACGAATACCTTTGAAGAGGGAGGGAGACACAGAGACTTTTAAAGTAATGATAATACGTGTTAATGAAGTTCTGTGCACACAGGTATTTATATTTCCATTCATGTTGTATGTACTAAATATTACTGTACCTATTCAGTATTTAATAAAATCAGTTAAAAAGAAAAACTTCTGCTTTATTAGTCCTGTATGACAATTTGGGCTTTCCTCACGTATAATGCTACTTGAAAATACAGACTGTCGGGGAGCCTGGGTGGCTCAGTCGGTTAAGCGTCTGACTTCAGCTCAGGTCATGATCTCGCAGTCCGTGAGTTCGAGCCCCGCGTCAGGCTCTGTGCTGACAGCTCGGAGCCTGGAGCCTGTTTCAGATTCTGTGTCTCCCTCGCTCTGACCCTCCCCCATTCATGCTCTGTCTCTCTCTGTCTCAAAAATAAATAAACGTTAAAAAAAAATTTTTTTTAAAAAGAAAATACAGACTGTCTGGTTGCAGGTGCTTGAGCATGTGAGAAACATTTTTATGATAGTACCAGTACCTAGTATTTAATAATGTGTCTTCATGGTGATAATTGGAGATGCAGAGACTCAAGGACATCAAAAGGAATAAAGTGAGCCTGATTGGCATGTAATTCTGAGCTATGCTGAAACTAAATTTCCTGTAATTGAAAGAGAAGATTAGTTTTCCTCAGTCACTTATGGATATTTCAGTTCTCTAAGCCTTGGTAATTTCTGAAATGTACCAAGCATCTGGGCCTGAGTCATACATAAATTAAGGATTTAACCTCTTGTTCCAAAACTATTTAATAGATGAATATCCTTTTATATTGTGATCCTCTATACTTTTAGGCAGTTAGTAAATAATCTGTGTTTTCTCATTAATAAGGATAACTGTATCCATTTCCTCTCAGATGGTATAGTGATGAATGAAAAAGTATTTGTAAATTGGCTCTAAGCTTCAAGAATGAGGAGATGTGTGGATTTATGTGTTACTTCATCTCTTACAATAGAATGGTGCTGGTGCCCCCTGGTGGGAAGTAGCAGGTGAAGAAGTAGAAATGTGTTGTTATTTGGTGAAAGGTACAGTTTGAACACCAGGTGGTGTTACTCTCAGTAGTAGGTATCATACTGACAACATTTTTGGAATGAAGTGATTTTTCTTTTTTTGTAATGTCGGTTAACTATAAGATTGTAAACACAGCCTACCTACTAAAAAAATAGAAAAGCTATCATAAACGTAGCTTGTTTTGAAAGCATTTCCAGTATTTCCAACTCACAGGCAAACAGTTTTCTTTGTCGGAAATAGCTGTGGTTTTCATGGGATATGTACAGACTCACAGGGTTATTTTGCTCCATTGTGAATGATACTGATATATATGAGGGGGGGGCATTGTTTTTTAGGCCTGGATGAATGAAAAGTTTGCCCCTGAGCTGCTGGAAAGCAAGTCTGAAATTGTAGAATGTGTCATGGAACAGCTAGACCACATGGTAAGAATTGCTTATGTCAGGGTTACAAAGGAAGAGAACTTTAAAAGGGTTTGTCAGCATAGTGAGAGGTTGTAGCCTGTTTTGTTTGTAGTCTTTTTTGTTTGGCCCAGCCTTGTTTTGTTTTGTTTTGTTTTTAATATTGAGTTGGTTACCTACATTTATAAAGCATGAGTGTTCCTTTGAATATCTAGACATCAGCTCTCCCTGAAAAGTCTAAAACCCTGTCAATACCAGACCCACATTTCTATATGAGAACAGCTGACCAGAGCTGGGTAAGGGCAACCCCCCCTCCCCTTTTCATGTGCTATCTGCTCCCCACAGTCCCTAACTGCCCACCTTTCTCAGATACCTTGCCTGCCTGACCCCCACAGACACTTGAGTTTGTGGCCCTTGGCTTTCATGAGCTGAGCTTAAGTCCTTATCAGCCTCAGAGTACCTTTAAAACATTGGTATTTTATCATTTCTCAACTGGTGATTTAACACTGCTCTTGGACATTTTTTCTGCTATACTCTCTCCTTTACAATTAGACCAGAATTCTTCTAGGCCCTTCTGACTGACCATATTCAGATTTGATTCAGATGGTTGTTTTCTAAAAGTAAATGGGAATTGTTTGAACTTTTTATAATGAGGCTGTAGTCACATCTATATTATTTGTGTATGCAAATGAGAACTCTCAGGAGTTTTTTGGTTCTCCTTTGACCTAAATGTAGTCTTTGAGTCCTCAACACTGCCAGGGATGATAGTCCCTGTGGAATTGTGCAGATTAAACAAAGAAGGTCCTTAGTCTGAATATCATGTTTTTTATACACTTCATTTTCTCTTTTAACAGGAAGAAAATCTCAGGAGAGCCAAGAAAGGGGACCTGAAGGTCAGTATCCATCGAATGGAGATGGAGAGGATCCGCTATGTCCTTAGCAGCTACTTGCGATGTCGGCTCATGAAGGTTTGACATGGGGATGCCTGTGGGTGTTAAGGCAGTGCAGTTTGTAATATAGATTGAGTGTCTTGGGGGAGAAGTTGGGCTGGGGCCTGGGAGAATCCAGGGCCTGAAGGTTCTGCAAAGACCAATATCAGGGTAGCTAAAGAGTAAAGAGGACAAAAGATTATTCTGGAGAAGCATGAATGGAACATGTGTTGCACACTTCTGAGGACACATTTATAGTCTGTTTATCAGCTGTGTGGATGGTGCCCCGTTGAATTACAACATGGCAGTCCTGCAGAGTCGTTTGCATCAGTTGGCCAGGGAATAATGACCAAAGGAAAACCAGTTTCAGAAATTATTTTGTACCCATCTTGTCGCCAGTGTCAAATTGACCCTGATAACTTGACGTTCAGCTATAGTTCTGAGGTCGTCTAACGTCTAACTATAAGAGTCACTATTCTGTCTGTTTGTGCATTCTGTATTCATCTTTCCAGCTTTTTTATGTTCTGTCTCATAGAAAACAACCTTTACAGTTACCTAGAAATGTTAAGTGATATCCCCTGTCTCCCTCATAAATATCATTTACAGCTGTATTTTCATATTTTCTTTCATGAAAGCCTCTCATCCTTTTAATTTATTTTTATTTATTTTTTTAATGTTTATTTATTATTTTTGAGACAGAGAGAGACAGAGCATGAACAGGGGAGGGGCAGAGAGAGAGGGAGACACAGAATCCGAAGCAGGCTCCAGGCTCTGAGCTATCAGCACAGAGCCCGATGCGGGGCTCGAACTCACGGACCGCGAGATCATGACCTGAGCCAAAGTCGTATGCTTAACCGACTGAGCCATGCAGGCACCCCTCCTCTCATCCTTTTTAAATGGTCTTCCTTTTTAGAGCACTTATCTTTGCTCGGAATTCTTTGAAACCTGCCTTCTTGAAATCTTGAAAGTCTAGAAAGGGTCATGACCATGAAGACTTGCTTTTTTTTTTTTTTTAAATGTTTCTTTGATTTTTTGAGAGAGTGAGCAGGGGAGGGGCAGAAAGAGAGGGGGACAGAGGATCTGAAGTGGGCTCTGTGCTGATGGCGTGAGAGCCCAACATGGGGCTCAAACTCACGAACCACAGGATCATGACCTGAGCTGAAGTCCAGATGCTTAACCGACTGAGCCACCCAGGCGCCCCAAGACTTGCCATTTTTTGAAGTCAATTCTAGATTAACCTCAACCCACTTCAGAAAACTAGTATATTTGACTCTTGAATCCTGACACATTTTCACGATTTTTATTTATCCTCAGATAGAGAAGTTTTTCCCTCATATCCTCGAAAAGGAGAAAACAGCCCACGAAGGGGAGCTATCTAGCCTTTCTCCAGAGGAGCTGGTCTTTGCCAAACAGTGAGTAAGCAGGACACAGGGGGACTGCTTTCTTTCCCTGGCTTGTGAGCATGAGTTTTGGTGGTTGTCTCCATGGATCCGATGGCTGGGCCACTGGTGTGCGTCCACCAACCCGGCAGCTCCTGCCAGTCATGTGGTCACAGCAATTTGGATTCCTGTCTTTCAGGTACATGGCTAACACAGAGACGTACCTCAAGAATGTTGCCTTAAAGCATATGCCTCCTAACTTACAGATGGTGGACCTCTTGAGGTCAGGTGAGCAGAACGCTCTCTTTTCAGACATAGCTTCAGGTGCCTTGGAATAAGATCTTCATGTTTACTCTCAAGCCTGGAAAAGTAAGTATTGTAGATAAGCAGAAAAGGGAAGAGAGGAAGTGTTGTGCGTTAAAAACAAATCATTAAAGGCAGGTGTAAGGGTAGCCATTTCAGCATGACTTTTGTGGTCTTCAGCTTAGGCTGAAATTCTTATGACTGCCATTAAAAATGTAGACTTGCTAATGTTCAGTCATTCATTCCTTCAATCGGTATCTGCTGGGCATCCACAGCATGCTACACTCTTCTGAGACTGAGGAGGCAAAGGTCTCTACATTCAAGGGGCTCGCACTTTTCCACAGATTCCAACCCATGCAGGGACTGCCTAGCTACCAAGGAGGAGTAAAATAGGCTAAACAGACCTTCAGTGATTGCCACTCACTTCCCAGCCACCCAGAGGAAGGGCTCCCAGTATTTTTTGTTGTGTGGGGTGTCTCATGGAAAGGGGAGCAGGGCTGAGAGCATGAGGAGAAAGGGAAGGCAGCCGGGAGAAGGGAAACCCAGCCAAAGCTACCTTTGTGCTCATCTCGCACAGTCCCCCAAACATCCTGCTGAGCCAAGGGAAGGGAGTTACGGTAGTCACGCTCAACCCTGGATCAGCCAGTTGGGGACCCCTGACGTGTAGGTTAAAGTCCATGGCCCTCAGCTGTTGGCAGCTTGACATATCCCAGCAGAACCTCATCCAGCAAAATTGCCAGGCCAAATGAAACCGTTCTCTGGGATCCACCTTGTTCACAACCTGCATGTAATGTGCTGAGGCCACAAGTTCAAGTACAACTGAGCCCTGGGAATTCATCTCCCACACATCCTGTGCTGGGGGCCACTCTGTGACCCCTGTGGCAGGAGGATGGTTGCCCGGGCGTCTCAGTCAGCTCAGGCTGCTATAATGAAGTACGAAGACTGGAGGGCTTAAAAAACATTTATTTTCTCTAGGCCAGAAGCCTGCGATTGGGGTGCTAGCAGGCTTGGTTTCCTCTGGGGCCTCCCCCATGGCTGCCGCTCTGTGCACACAAACCCCTCATGTCTCCTCCTCTTCTTATAAGGACACCAGTCAGCCTGGACTAGGCCTACCCTAATGGTCTCATTTCAGCTTAATTACCTCTTTAAAGGCTGTTTCCAAATACATTCCCATTCTGAAGGACTGGGCTTAGGGCTTCAACAAATGAGTGTTGAGGGGACATAGTGCAGCCTATGACACCAGGAGCAAGGCAGACCCATAGCAGATTTGTGGAACTCTGAAGTGGTCAGTTGGTGGACCTGCCTGAGGAAAACAAAAGCTCCAGTCCGTGTCCAGTTCGGCCACTTTTGTCTGCACCTTGGAAGAATAGGAATGAAGCAAGGACCATATCCCTAATCATTGCCCAGCGCTATCGCATCTAGTTGATTCAAACAGCCATGAGCATGCTTCTGAATTCCTGAAACTGACTTAAACTGAATTCTACTCACTGCTGGCGGACACATTCTAAAACACTCACATGCCACTTGCCCCAGATCCCTTCCAAGGACTAGAGCCAGGCCCCCTGGAATTGGAAGCTTGCAGGGGGATCCGCCTGCCCCAGTGAAATCAGTCGTGCTTAGTTAGCCCAGATGCCCTGAGTCCCCCTCAGACCTCTGGAGTACCGTAGACCCCACTGGCAGAGTGGGGGAAGGCATTTTGAAATCTAAGCTGGGTTCCCTAGAATGAGTAGCTGCTCAGTGGGGGCAACTGACCCTGTGAAGTTGGAGTCTCTTTGGCAGGCCCCAAACTGTGGAGTGGCCCGGGGAACCCCCTTACACCTTTGAGCCAATTATCCTGAACCCCCACCTGTGGGTGAGGGAATCAAGGGCAACATGAATGCTGAGCTAGCCTCTTAGAACTGAGAGTTGTTATCCAGTAGGTTCTCAGAACCTGCAGCTGATGGGAGTCCTCTGGGCACACATGGAGCTCTGGGAAGTGAAGAGCTGTCGAGCGACCCAGCACAGGGCACCTCCTTACATGAAATGTTGGCTGATGGTGGAAGAGGCAACAGCCTCTTACCCTGTAATCAGCCAGTGAAGGACCACTTACGGTGAAAGCCTGTATTCCGTAGTCTGACATTCAAGACTATCCCATCACCCAGTCTTTTTCATTCTCCCTCCTCCCACTCCCTTGTATAAAAATATTGCTCACTAGATTTATACACTCTGTCCTCCCAGAACGTCATGTATATTTCTACCTTGGTCCTTGGTATTACCTCCCAGGCTCACTTTCCCTCATTAAGTCTGCATTGACTCCTTTTTCCCCACTTCCCTGAGTGAATGTACCACCACTGTGAGGCTTTATCAGATGCTGCTGGTAGCCCTTTCCAAAGAGACCACGTGTTACGCTTGCTGTGTCTTCCGTGGTGTGTGGCGGGATTCCCAGCACATTTTACATATTGTCATCTATTGCACGAGCTGTTGCTGTGTGAAACCATGGATGGGAAGCGTGCTGTTTCCATAAAGAGCCAGATGTCTCCTCAAAGTTACCCCTCCCCCAAAATGCTTTCACATCGGGTCCCTTAGTGCTCAGGACAGTTAATCCCAGCAACTTTCCCATATTGATCTTGTGAGCTGGTGAACATTTTCTGACTGCATTATCATTTCTCTGGCAGTTCCCAAACCAGATCTAGATTCATACGTGTTTCTGAGAGTAAAAGAACGACAGGAAAACATACTGGTAGAACCAGAAACAGACGAGCAGAGGTGAGTCCTTGACCATGGGAAATCTTACTCCATTGGGGCACCAGCTCAGCTCTGTGGATACATTTTTTTCCTTCTTTTTCAGGGACTATGTGATTGACTTGGAGGAAGGCTCACAGCACTTGATCCGTTATAAAACCATTGCACCTCTGGTGGCATCTGGAGCTGTTCAGTTGATTTAAAATCAAAAATAAATAAACAAGAATGATGGGCTGGAACCTCAAAGGAAATATTTAGAAACTTCTTCCCACTTTGTCTCTCAGGACAGCAGATCTCCGCAGTGCTGTGGATCCCTTGGGCATGGAGAAGGAGCTCAAGGACCTACCTGGCCACACAACCTGACTGCTGTTTTAGCCACAGTCAGTAGATGGAGCCATCGCTCTGCTGATTCCACGTGCTGGGCAGGGACCTGGAGATTCTCCCTTTATGCGCCTGTTCCAACAGAAGATAAAATATCTTTTAGGGTATCTCACTAGATTGTGTGAAGTAACCTTCTGAAACCTCTCATATTGGACTTATAATAGTTTCTGTCCTGGCTAACTGAGAATCACAACTAAACCAATAAACCATTATTAAGTTTCTGCTTTGTGGCAGAAGGAGCCTCGGGGCAGTTCTCATTTTGTAGCCTAATGAAGGATGTTCTCCCTGCTGCTAAGCTGCAGCCCTTCCCTGAATCTCAGGCAGCTTGGCCAAGCCACCCTCCAGGCCATCTGGCCATTCTTGGCCAGGAATGTTAACAGCAACATTAACTATCCTATCTTGTGACCTCAGCAGCGTTTCTGTTTTTAGCTCTACTTTCTCAAGGGAAGTGGATGAAATTAATATGAGGGGTATCACAGGGATACCTGAAGGGAGGATGTAGAGACAGTGAATGAATCGTCTTTTCCTTGAAACATGAGAAGAAGGAAACTGCATTCCAGTCCTTTCTTGCTGACGAGAAGGCAGCAGATTTTCATTTATATGATGTAGGCTTTTAGAGTAATCGATGTAATATGGTTATCATTTCCAAGAGAAATCACAAAGTGGAAGCAAGGAAGGTTTTATTCATTAATAAAAACATTTTCTATTTCATGCAGTGCTTTGTTTTTTCCACAGTGACTTTACCCTCTTCAGCCATTTATAAAACAAATATGTATTGAGCATACAGTGTGCCAGCACAGTTCAAGGCACTGAGGCTCCAACCCAGAATAAGACAGTCACTGTCACTGTTCACATGGGATAAGTGCTTTGCAGAGGATTGGAACAGGGTGACTCCCTAGAGAGTAACTAGATTGGGGTTAAGAGGTTCTCACCGAATTCAGTGAATCTCACTGAATTAGGCTGAGACCTGAACACCAAGAAGGAGCCAGACACGCAGATCAAAAGGAAGGTCATTCCCAGCAGAGAAAATAGATTGTACAAAAGCCCTGAGGCAGAAATGAGCTCTGGCTGCAGTCAGTGTGCCCAGAACACAATGGGCAAAATGGAAAATGGTACACAGGAAGGTCTGAGGAGCAGGCTGGGCCCAGATCATGTAGGGCTTTGTTAGCAAGGATCCCTGTTGGCCCTCACAGCAGTCCTGAGAAGGAGACCGGGCTGGTAGTAAGTCATAGGTGGAAAGTGGATGTTCAGTGGTAAGTCTGAGACTAGAACCCATGTGCCCCTCCTGATCACATGTACGCAGGCTCACTCCCCATGGCCTCCCTTGCGCTGAGCAGCCTACAGAGGGATGTGGGCTATGACACTATTAGCCAGAACAGTGCCTCCAGAGCCTTAATATGAACGCCAATTGCCCAGAGATCGTTTTAGATGGCGACTCCGATTCAGGAAGACTGGGGTGGGGCTGGAGTTCTGCCTTCCTGAGCAGCTCACAGGCTATGCTGTTGCTACTGATCCAGGAGCCGCGCTTTTGAGTAGCAGGGCTCTACGTCATCACCGGCTCCTGCCCTGAACGTGCCAGGCCACAGGGAGGAGTTCAAGGTCTCAACGAAAGCCACAGAGTGAATTGCTCCATTTCCTAGGCCCCCTCTTTAAAGGAAGACTGGTTTAAATCAGTCATTTGAAGGTAAAGGGAAGTTCGGTTTCAAAACCAAGTAGCAAAGGAAGTGAAGTGGCTTAGTGTGACATTGACTTCAACTTTTCCACTTCGTATTTTGCTCTATTGATAAAAACTCATCATGGACGCATGACGTGTTTTCTTCAAGTAATTGCATCATACCTCATCCTAAGCTTGTTGTTAGCAAACTGGCTTTTCCCGAGAAGTGCCTACAGATCTGCAGGCACTTCTCAGGAAAAGCCAGTTTGCCAGCAATACTCATGCTTCAGCTGTGACCTTGCGACGAGGTCAGCTGTATTTACTCTGTGTGCAGGCCCCAGCCAGCAACGTGACTTTAGTGCCATCCTCGTATGCATCAAACTTCCTTCTGTGATGTACACGAGTTGACCATAGAGCTTTCAGAGCACATTGTTAGGCAAGCACCTTATATAGCAATTTTAATATAATTTTTCATGGGAGGCTAAAATTCCAAATATCTAGATTTCCTCAGAAATTCACTTTTTTTCTATATTGTAAAATACACATTCAATTTCCCATCTTAGCTATTTCTTTTTTTTTTTTTTTTCTACGTTTATTTATTTTTGGGACAGAGAGAGACAGAGCATGAACGGGGGAGGGGCAGAGAGAGAGGGAGACACAGAATCGGAAACAGGCTCCAGGCTCCGAGCCATCAGCCCAGAGCCTGACGGGGGCTCGAACTCACGGACCGCGAGATCGTGACCTGGCTGAAGTCGGACGCTTAACTGACTGCGCCACCCAGGCGCCCCTCATCTTAGCTATTTCTAAGTGTACCACTCAGTGCATTAAATCCATTTATATTGTCCAGCCATCACCACTGTTCATCTCTAACATTTATCTTGTAAACCTGGACCTCTATACCTATTTAACAATAACTCCCTGTTATCCCCTCCCCCCCAGCCCCTGAAAACCACCGTTCTACTTTGTACTACTTTGCATTCTACTTTGTGCCAATTTGTACAACACGGATGTACAAATATCTCTTTGAGGGATGACTGGGTGGTTCAGTTGGTTAAGCGTCTGACTTCGGCTCAGGTCATGATCTCGCGGTTCATGAGCTCAAGCCCCATGTCGGGCTCTGTGCTGACAGCTCAGAGCCTGGAGCCTGCTTCGGATTCTGTGTCTCTCTCTCCCTTTTTGCCCCTCCCCCGTTCACACTCTGTCTCTCTCCCTCTCTCTCTCTCTCTCTCTCTCAAAAATAACCATTAAAAAAATTTTTCTTTAATCTCTTTGAGACCCTGTTTTTAATTCTGTATACCCAGAAGTTGAATTGCTGGATCATATGGTAATTCTATTTAACACTTTGGAAATGTTATGCTGCTTTCCAGACCAGCTGTACTATTTTACATTCCCACCAACAGTGTGGAAGACTTCCACTTTCTCTACATCCTCACGCTGTTTTCCAGTTTTGTTTTATTTTTTGTTTTATCTTTTTAAGTTTATTTATTTTGAGAGAGGGAGAGAAAGAGAAAGAGAACAAGCAGGGGAGGGGCAGAGAGAGAGAGAGAATCCCAAACAAGCTCCACACTGTCTGCGTGGAGCCCGATGAGGGGCTTTGAGCCACTAGATCATGCCCTGAGCTGAAACCAAGAGTGTGACACTTAAACGACTGAGCCATCCGGGCACCACTCCATTTTTGTTTTATAATGGCCATTCAAATGGGTGTGCAGTGGTATCTCATAGTTTTGATTTGCATTTCCCTGATTGTTGTTGATGTTGAGCATCTTTTCATGTACTATTCCTGTATCTTCTCTAGAGAAATGGCTATTCAAGTTCTCTACCCATTTATTTTTAGTTTACTTTTTAAGTTTATTTATTTATTCTGAGAGAGAGGGAGAGAGAGAGAATCCTAAGCAGGCTGGCACTGTCAGCATGGAGCTTGACGAGGGGCTCAAACCCACAAACCATGAGATCATGACCTGAGCCAAAATCAAGAATTGGATTCTCAACCAAATGAGCCACCCAGGCACCCCTTTTCACCCATTTTTTAATTGGGTTGTTGGTTTTTTTGTTGCTGAGTTTTAGGGGTTCTCTATGTATTCTGGATATTAACCCCTTATCAGACATATGATTTGCAAACTTTTTCTCCCATTCTATGGGTTGCCTTTTTACTCTGTGAATAATGTCTTTTGATGCACACAGTTTTAAATTTTTCATGAGGTCTACTTTGTCAATTTTTTCTTTTGTTACCTGTGCCTTTGGTGTCACATACAAGAAATCATTGTGAAATCCAATGTCATGAAGCTTTTCTTGTATGTTTTCAGAGTTTTATTGTTTTAGGGATTATGTTTAGGTCCTTGATTTATTTTGAGTCAATTTTCTATATATGGAGTTAGGTAAGGGTTCAACTTCTTTTTTTTTTTTTTTTTTTTTTTTTTTTTTTTTTTTGCTTGTGGATATCCAGTTTTCCCCCCACCATTTATTGAAAAGACTGTCCTTTTCCCATTGAATGGAAAAAAATCATTTGACCATATATGGGAGGGTTGATTTCCGGGCTCTGTATTCTGTTCCACTGGTCTATATGTCTGGCTTTATGCCAATACCACACTATTTTGGATTACTACAGCTTTATAGTAAGTTTAGACATCAAAGAGGTGTGAATCCTTCAGTTTTGTTCTTTTTCAAGACTGTTTTCATTATTTGGGGTTTTCTTGAGATTACATATGAGTTTTGGATGTATTTTTTCTATTTTTGCAAAAAATGTTGGGATTTTGATAGAGATTATATTGAATCTGTAGATCACGTTAGGTAGTATTAACATTTTAACAATATTAAGCTTCAAGTCCATGAACGTGGAGTGTGTTTTCATTTACTTATGTCTTTAATTTCTTGCAGCAATGCTGTTTAGTTTTCATTACACAAGGTTCTCATCTCCTTGGTTAATTCCTAAGTATTGTATTCTTTATGATGCTATTGTAAATGGAACTGTCTTTATAACTTTTCATTGTCTGTGTATAGAAATGTGACTGGTTTTTGTGTGTCTGACTTTGTATCCTGCACTTTGCTGAATTCATGTATCAGTTCTAACAGCTTTTTTGCGAAGTCTAAGGTTTTCTACATATAATATCATATTATCTGCGAAGAGAGATCATTTGACTTCTTCCTTTCCAATTTGGCTATCTTTTATTT